CGCCTCGCCCCACCTTTGCTCCAAAACACCTGCCCGCGTAACATCTTAAGCCCTCTCAGGGCGCTGCTGGCGTTGGAGGCCTTCACTGCGGACCTTGGCTCCAGTGCCCCCAGCCGCTCCTTGGGTCGCTGGGACTCGGGCGGCGCCTCCTCGGCCTTGCAGGCGGCGGAAGCGGAAGGTGGAGGGATTCTGTAGCAGGTAGTTGTTGTTGTTGGAGGATTTGTAGCGGGGGTAGTACGTAGTAACTAGTAAAATAATCCAAATAGTAGAGTAGTATATGCATGGGGACTGATGTGTTGCTTCTATTGGAAGGTGGGATGGGAATGGGTTCCTAGCGAGACTTGGTTCATCATCCTGGACCGTACGTCGCAGAGATTCTGGACCGAGTCTTTGTTTGGCTGTGCTTTTGAGCTGTTGTTGCGAATCTGACCGTGTTTCCTGTTTTAGTGCGTTGGTTTTGATCGGGTCTTAACCATATGCCATATTGAAGCGCCAGCCGCTGGCCTGGTTCATCGAGTTTATTTTGCAACTGACCTGTTCTCAGCCAGAACACCTATTTTTTTGTTAAAATCGCTAATTTTTTTTTATGTAGATAAATTGGTTTCCTGTCTCCTTAGTCTCACTTTGGCACATTCCTGCAGGCTTTGGAGTCATTTGTGGGTGGTGTCTCCACGCCATCCTTCGTGGCAGTGAGACTGGAGTTCCGACCTCAGTGCTGCGTTGGTGCTGCGGGTTGGTCAGCGGGTTGGTCATAGTCACTATGAGGTTTGGTTGGCCAAGACAGACTGTTTGGTTTATCAGGATGTGCTCTGGGATTGGGGACGTGACCCAGAGTTATTTATATCAGCGCGGCTTCTGATATATCAAAGTAGATGGCTCAGACCCCATGATGTCCTTTAGATAGGGGTCCATATTAACCGCCCTTTGAGGTTTGTGCCATCTACTCTGTTTCTAATGCCACACGCTTACGGCGGTCCAGCATCACCTGATGTCTTTTCAGAGCGCCGAGCTCGTCCAGGTTACAGAGCCACTGGGCTGGAGCCTGCTTTACCAATTCAGCTGCACGGCAGTGAAGGGTCATGGGGCGAGGGATTCTGAAGAGGACCACGTCGCAGGCATGATATATAATTAATCCAAAAATTAACTCAGTCACCTCAATGGAGTCAACACTCAGGCCCTATGGTTGGACTTGGGTGTGGACGAACTCTTGAATGAGAGAAGCCACGGGCTGCAATCAGTCGAGGCAGATCAGACCGGCGCCGATGCTCGTTTACAGGGGGGCCGACCCCCAGTCGATTCAGGATTGATTTCAGCAATGACTGCACAGTTGTGGCCAACCCAGTGGCTATAGCAATCAAGAATCTCGAGCAACTTACTTTAGCAGGAGCTCACCTCCAAACCATTTTGGCCGGACTTTCTTCAAGAGCCACGCCAGGACTTCTTGGCATCTCGGAGTCTGGGGAGTTGTTGCCAACTGTTGGAGCAGTTGCTGCCAGCGCTGCAGAGGCAGCAGGTCACCCTTTCAGCATTAGTTGTTTTGCAATGTGTTTCATGTTTGTTTTTTTCCACCCCTTTTGTTCACTTGGGAGGAGGGGAGTTCTTTCTGGATGTTTCCTTTGAAAATCTATGTCTATTGTGTCTCTATAATTACCTATAAGATTATTGAATTCCATGTTCTTATCGGATTTGGTATGGTTTGTTTGACTTGAAGGGTGGAAAATCCGTGAATGGAAAGCACGGATGGATGCGGCTCAAGGGACCACCATTTGGTCATGCCGGGGCCCATGGGGAGCCGATGTTCGCTGCAAGGTGATGAAGCTGGTGATTTGTGGGCCACCGGACGATCCAGCCGTAGGCGTTTTCCGCGCTCACGTACGTGCGAGAGGTTGTGTGGAGTACGGTTTTTGGCGTGACTGAGGTGCGACCCAAGGAACGTCCACGGGAAAATCAACGTGTCCGCCCAGATTCCCGGATGTTGTAGTCCTCATAGCCAGCTCTTAAGCCTCACAATGTGCCCTAGAGATGATAGCCGAGGCTGTCCAATCAGGCCCTCCGGCCCTCCGGTGTTTTTCGAAGATGCTTCTGATCCTGACCAACTACGTTGCTTGAGGCCCTTTGCTTCTGGCAACAGCTTTTCCCCTGTTCCTCGGGGATGGAACAGGCAAACGAAGAAACTGTCCCTATCAGGTTCTCAAGCAGCTTTAAGGCTCCAGCATTGTCGCTTCTTTGCCGCTGATTGCTAGCTTGAGGTGCGGCACGTGCACGGACAACTTCACTCCTGCGGGATGCGCCAGATGCCACACGCAGCCCCTTGGGATCGCTTTGTTCGGTGTTCCTCAACCGAGGTTTGGACCAACCATAGGCCCCGCACCTGCAATATGATGCAATATGTCAAGGCCCGCACCAAGGATTCCGCCACATTTTGTGAAGTAGAGGCATCCGGGGGGGTGATTTTTGGGACCACCCAGTGTCCAACCCGGTGACGCCTGGTACCCCCCACAGCGTGGGGCCAAGGTGTAGATCTTAGAGTCTTGGGCCCGTGAAACCACAGGTCTTGGCAAATTTGGGTGATCAACCGAACACCTTGGGAGTTCAACAACTTATGAGCATAACTTCATAACTTCTCTAGGACGGGTTCTTGTTTCAGATTGCATGTGGACATTCCAGATGTTTGTCCAATAGTTGAGACATGTTGAGACTACACAATAATCAGAGCTGCTACAGTAATACGGCATGCTTGCATGCTGAGAGCGATTCACCCAAGGATCCCTGATGTGTCGTTTGTAACCACCTAGGCGCCCCCAGAACAGCTTGTGAATAGAGGGTTTAGCATGGTTTAGCACTGACAGATGGAGAAACTATATAGCATGACAGCATGATACGTCATATTATCAAAATAACCAATCACGCCTATAGAGGCACAACGAGGCACACAGAATTTGATGGTTTACGTGTATGCGGATGCACAGGGCCAGCCCTGTGGCTTTCGATAGCACGTCGCTCCTTTGAGAGCGATCCCAGCAGCCAGGTCTTCAGCTCACCTCATTGACGTCTTCAGCGCAGGGAACTGCTTCAAATGCATTGGCGACGGCCTTCCAGGACGGAGGATTTGGACCAAGCCCAAGCCGTCAGGGAGGGTTTGCCTTGATCCACATCCACATCAATGCAGTCGGCGGCTCGATGTGACCGGCGGCTCGATGTGATCCCTCCACACACAGAGGCACACGAAATGGGATCCGTTAAGGTCGATCGAATGCATAAGTCAATTGGAGTGGAACACTGCGAATGCAGGAAGAAGGTCCTTACTCTGATGACTGGATGATGTCGCGATGTCAAATCTAGATCTGTTTGGCGGCGTCGACTAGGAGCTCCGCTCTTCAGATCAGACCACCAGCTTGTCGGAGTTCATTTCCGGTGAGGTGGAGCGATCCGATTGACGAGCGGAAAGTCTTGGGAAAGAGGCAGTTATTGGATTGATTTGCACTATATAGATGGTTATACAAAGTCATTTTTGAACCTATTGAAGTGGCTATCGGCTATCAGGTACCACTCTCCTACCACATGTTCTACAAACTCATTTCAAGCCTTGCGCTCATGATGCTTCAAATCTGGCTAGGACTTGGCTTCGGACAGTCGCCAATATGTTGCACATGCCTACCGCCTACCAAGCAAAACACCAAGAAACACACCATCTGAACAGTGGAGCGTTCAAAAACGCTACGGATCAACGGCTGCGCTGGCTGTGAGCCCTTTTGGGGTTCGGAATGCTTGACACCTTCCCACTCCCAGGTCCCACCCAGCGTTATGGGCCCTACGGTTGGGGCCACGAGGTGCGAATGACAGACTTCGGCTTTCCTGGTCATGTGCTTCCAACCTTGCCACAGCGATATCAGGCAGGGACTTGGGACGAATATCCCGTTCGGGCTCCACTCGTACCTCCTCGGAAGGCATGACTGGACCCTCTAAACCCACCCCAAACACCTTCTTAGAACGTACTTGGAGCCCTAGTGTATATTATAACAATACTATAACAATACTTTTCCCTGGAGCTTCCCCCTGGTCTTGGCCGTCAAACACTTGAGATTCGACCATAAAAGGGTATCCTTTGGTGCCGCTTGAGATCCGTACGGTTGAAGTCCGGAACTCTTGGCTGCAGACATGTGAGAGCGGGGTGCGAAACAATCTCGTGGCTCTTGTGTGGCCACATGGTACATATAGCTACACCCCCCGAAAACTAACATAGACCCTGACAATGGTAACCTGGAAGTCTACCAACCAGTGGTTTTCAGGGTCCATGTTAGTTTTCCGGAGTGTACACTCTAACTCACATTATCATGGAAGTGAACACCGCCATAATCAAGTGTGAGTGGGTGAGTGGCATGGCTTTCTGGCGGCACGTTTTTTTGCAGGACAATTATCTTCAGGAGTGGTCGAGCTTAGAATTGCCACCCAAAGGCGCTTTGGCTTTAGCTTCACATGGGACACCTTCCTTATTCAAGGGTGGAAGGACCAGCACATGTCCTAGAACATGCTAAAGCTACTGTAGCTAGGTTTCATTTAGATCGTACACACCTCGTCCTTTCAACGGCTCAGGCGTGCATCGGCCGCGTACACACCTCGTCACGGTCAGGTCACCAACCAGGACCGTGTGATGCTCCACTTGGCCGCCGAAAGCGCGTTGGACGCCTGTGAGGCGACCGCGACCGTGTCCAGTTGAGGGTGGATGTCTGCGCCACCGGTCTACCTTTGCGTTGGACTCTTCAGAACCCCCGCCTACTTGGATACTCAAACATACAACATATGGGGGAGTACATATTATACATGTATATAACCAAGAGTCTACCAGAAGGCATGGACGATGATTGACCAGATTTTGTTGAGTTGAAGGTCGCAACGAGAATCCTCTACATTCCGCCTTTCTAGAGTCGGCTCAAGGTCCACAAAAAGGGGCCTTTTTCGACGGCCTTTGATTGGCCACTTTTGGCCCAACAGTTCTCGCAATGCTGGAACTCTTACCAGAGCTTCGACGAAAACGCGAAGAGTTAACCCAGGGCTTGAAGACTTTGGGCGACGCCCTTGATGCTGGGCCTGAGCTGTGTTTGGGCCACATTTGTTACCAATCTCAGCAACCACCTTTTGTCCTCTCGTTTGGGAACATAACATGTAGCATTAGCTGTAGCTACTTTCCTGGACTGTCAATAGCTCTCCCCCAGGAGGAACGTGTTTGTGAAACGTGGTGAGAATCACTACAAGTCGGTTACTTACAATTGCTATGTTTGGAACTTGGAGGATCTTGGAGGGCTTCCATAGCTACAGCTACAGAATTGATGAGCTTTCCTTTCGCAACCGCAAACTTGGTTTGTCAGCTGATCACATGCGGCACATGTGGCACATGGTCGGTAGTTGGAGGAAGCGACCTTGCTAGTCATTTGCTTTGATATTTGTTGCCAGCGACCTTGCGAGCCCAGGATGATCTTCATACACTTGCCGAAGGTTTGGACGAGTTGATCAATGCGGGAGCGGATGCAGAAGCGGGGGGAAGCCCCCCCAACAAAAAAGACCGTGCTTCAGATGTGCAGCTTGGTAGCATTCGGTGGCTCAAACCCAAAAGCATCGAAAAAGCATTTTTCCGGGCAAAAGCACCCAGAAAAACGTCACATGGCGCGGGAAGAGATCCAGTCCCCACGAAACGTGGAGGCGAGAGCAAAACCCCGTGGAGCGGCTGTACGGCATCGCTGTCTATTTTTGTTTATATTTAGTTTTTCAACCTCTATCAAGTGTGGGAGTACTGAAAGATCTCGGCAAAGTTTGCACAAGTCGCTTGAGGAAACCAGAGGTTGATACTTAACCAATTGCCTTTCCAACCGCCATGCTCGCCTCTAGTTTTCAGATTATGTGTTCATAGGTGTTGTTTTTGTTTCGCGACCTAACCTCAGGACCTTCTTGCTGGTGGATGGTGTCCCAACCAAGCCCACGGAAGTGGACCCGGTCGCCTTGAATCGATCGAACCAGACGCAAATGCAAAAGCAGCAGATACAGATGCTGGACGAATGGCGTGAATCCTTCGTGGTCTCAGAGCAGGACGCCGTGGAATTGTACAACTCCCTCTACGTGGAAAACGTCTCGGGAAAGCACGTGTCAAAGAGAGTCTCGGATGATTCTCGTAGCTCAGTGATTTCACTGCAACAGTACCACCCCGTCTATTGGGGCACGTGTGCGGATAGCGTGGTCCATGCCTGGCAGGTTTTCACGTTGGTGATGATCATGTGTGACGTTTGGAGTGTCCCATTGACCTTAGCCTGGCCAGGGCACCAATTCCTGGGATTCTACCAGGAAGTTCGTCCTGTGCTGTGGGCCTTCGATATTCTCATGTCCCTTCTCCCATGTCTCGTTGAGCTGGGGGGAGTCAAAGTGTCACATCTTTGTGAAGCTGAAGCAGTACGCTCCAAGGCTGGGTCACCGGCTTCGGGTCTTTGGGTGAACGGAGTGCCTGGTCACCGCTCGGCCCAGCGTCCGATTTGGAGGGTTCGTAGCGGGTGAACCATGGGTCCCATGGCCAAGCAGCGCAACTAGCGGGCGCCCCTACACTTCCTTTGGACCATTAAAAAGGGCTGACCTGGTGTTGCAATCTAGATTGGTCCTTAAAAATGAACCAGGGACCAGGGCTATTGTTCCAACATGCTGACATGCCACCAAGCTGCGGCTGAGAGTTTGGACGAGACGTGCGTAATTAGCAGAAACAGAAAAGACAAATATGTCAGCTGCAGGTCAGCGGCAGACATTTGTTGGGTAGGCCAATGATGAGATGCAAAACATCAATCCAAGAGTCCCAGGGAGTTGTGTCTTCACTAGCTATTTTTTAGGAGCTACTAGTAGCTTTTTGTTGCTAGTAGTAAGGCCAGGAGCTACTAGTAGCTTCTTGTTACTAGTAGT